GCGACCTTAACCGCGTGGCGCTCGTGGATCCTGGCGGCGCCAGCGGCGCCGCCCAGTGCCAGGGTGCGGCGGCCGCGAGGCCGCAACCCGCCCGTTGCCGAGCAGGAGGGGAGGAGGAGGAGGAGGAGGAGGAGGAGGAGGAGGAGGAGGAGGAGGAGGAGGAGGAGGAGGAGGAGGAGGAGGAGGAGGACGAGGAGGAGGAGGATGAGGAGGAATACTATGAAGGAGGATGAGGATGAGGAGGAGGAAGAGGAGGAGGAGAGGAGGAGGAGGAGGTGAAGGAGGAGGAGGCGGACGAGGAGGAGGAGGAGGAGAAGACGGAGACGGAGGGGGAGGAGGAGGAGGAGGAGGAGGAGGAGGAGGAGGAGGAGAAGGATGGTGACGATGATGATGATGATGATGATGATGATGATGATGATGATGATGATGATGATGATGATGATGATGATGATGATGATGATGATGATGATGATGATGATGATGATGATGATGATGATGATGATGATGATGATGATGATGATGATGATGAGGAGCAGGAGGATGAGGGGGAGGAGGAGGATGAGTTGGAGGAGGAGGAGGATGAGGAGGAGAAGGATGAGGAGGAGGAGGAGGAAGAGGATGAGGAGGAGGAAAAGGAGCAGGAGGAGGAAGAGGAGGAGGAGGAGGAGGAGGCGAAGACGGCGGATTTGGGTTGGGCACTCGGCGGAGACCTGGTCAAGCCAGGGTGCTTCCAACATCGCACACACCTCCACTTCAGTCTTCCGTGCACCTGTAACCGATCAGCTACACCACTAAAGTGAGAACTGGACAAACAAAAGAGCACCACTGGAATTACCCAAAAACAAAGAGCACCACTTGAGCCTGTAACCTGTCGGCAGCACAGCATGCAATTACAGAGAAGGAAAACACATGCCACTCTTTGGGGACAACCCTCGCGCGAGGCGAGACAATACGCTAGCACCAGCTTTTGTGGGGCCAACAGACGGCCTGCCTTCAGCGCGGGCCTTCGCAACATGACACTCTTCGCTCAGGAGCTGAGCGGTGGAGACAGAAGATCGCCCGCACGCTCGGCAGTACAGAACGCCCCTGAGAACCGACAAATCGTGCGAGGAATGGGCCCTCACAGCCGCAGGATGCGCAATTACAGCTTCGCGCCCAACCTGCGGTCTTACCTCGCGCGCCCCCAGACATCTACCCGGCCGGAAGTTGCAGACCTGACCGCGAGTAGCATCAAAGGTGCGGCGACAAACCGTGCACACAAATCGGGTTCCATGCATCCGAGGGGCGTGATCTGCAGCGATCAGTCTCTGCTTGCGCGTGAAAAGAGATGGGACAGCAGGAGGCCGGGGCGGGGGGCGACCAACACGATCAGACTGCAAGCGCCGGCAGGTCAGGCTGACCTCTCGGGTCACAACCAAAAGACGATTCAAGACGCGCAAGGCCATATCATCAACCTCGTGCAAAACCTGAACATGCTCCTCAGGAATCTCACCTAAGGCGGCAGCCTTCCCAGCAAAGAAATCAGCACTAAAATTCAAGAACAACTCAACCTCAGAGATGCCCCAAGCCTCACGGGCACTACGACTTGAATGAGCTTTGGTCCAGATCACCTCGACACGGCCATCACGAGCGTCGAGGAGGTCCCAGATTTGGACCCAGAGGTCCAGCATCGGGGAGGATTTGGCCACCCAAGATCGATCCCGTCTAAGGCCCCCAACAAGAGGAAGATAATCAGGATATGCAACTACGTCGCCCGTCGTGAAAGTAAGCAGCATAGTCAATGCAAACAACTCCGAGCGCGGGCTCGACTGAGTCCGAGTAGGAAGAGTCCCCGCCAGAATAGCATCACATCGAACCTCAAATTCGTCGACGCTAGCCTCGTCCAGCCGAACGACCGCCCAACCACAACGACGAAGGCGAAGACGGCGGAGGAGGAGGCGGAGGAGGAGGAGGAAGAGGAGGAGGAAGAGGAGGAGGAGTAGGAGGAGTAGGAGGAGTAGGAAGAGGAGGAGGAGGAGGAGGAGGAGGGGGATGAGGACGAGGAGGAGGAGGAACACGACGAGGGCGAGGAGGGCGAAGAGGACGAGGAGGAGGTGGAGGATGAGGATGAGGATGAGGATGAGGATGAGGATGGTGATGGTGATGATGATGATGATGATGATGATGATGATGATGATGATGATGATGATGATGATGATGATGAGGATGATGCTGATGACGATGATGCTGATGCTGATGCTGATGATACTGATGCTGATGATGGCGATGATGATGGTGATGTTGATGATGCTGATGATGATGACGATGATGATGATGCTGATGATGCTGATGGTGATGATGATGCTGATGATGATGCTGATGATGATGCTGATGATGATGCTGATGATGAGGAGGAGGATGGGGAGGAAGAGGAGGAGAAGGAGGAGGAGGACGACGGGGGCCGAGGCGGACGAGGAGGGGGAGGAGGAGTAGGAGGAGGAGGAGGAGGAGGAGGAGGAGG